CCCCCAACCCCCCCCCCCCCCTCTTAAAAAAATCAATAAAACAAAACAAAACCAAATACACAAACATAAAAAACACAAACGAAACAAAATAAATCAAAAAACGAAAAACAAACAATAACAACAACAACAAACGAGCAAACAGAACAAAACAGAGAAAAAAGCCCAGGCCGTGCCGTGAACTAACGTGTAAACAACCAACTGGAGTCTCATGCGCTCATTTGACCTTAACATGCAGCGCCGTAAAACTCTTTCCAAACCCAAAGATCAAGTGTTGAAAAGACAGAGAGCTACGCCGTTTTAAAAACCACTTAAAAGAGCAATAAAAAGAATGGGCGCAGTAATATCTGTTTGCTTCTTGGTTAACTGTCCTTGTTCTGGAGAGCGGAAGAATGTCAACTTCGAAGAAAAAAAAAGAAAAGAAAGAAAGAAAAAAAAAAAAGAAAAGAAAGAAAGAAAAAAAAAAAGAAAAAGAAAAAAGATTTTTCTAGGAATGTTCTCTTATTTTTGTGAAGCAACACTCCGATAATTGGAGTTGAAGAAAAACTGACCTTTCCTCACTAAAAGGGAAAGAAAAGGGGAAAAAAACTGGGAAAAGGAAAAGTGAAATGACAAAAACTCCCCCCTATAAAAATTAAATCAAATTTTTTCAATTTTAAAAGGTAAAGGTTCTGGCAGCAAGAAGAGAAAGGAAAAGAAATCTCGGGTTCTGGCTAGTTGAAACTTGTACTGTATGATTTATTGTCTGACGACTCTTTCAGAAGTCTCAAGTAACGGTTAACAGATGGTATTTATCCCTAGTCTCCACCAAAATTCTTATATATGCAGTTTATGACTTTTGCATTAAAGAAAGTCTCTACGGCAGCTTGTTCACTGTCGTCTGTTCGTTGTTAATACAAGATAAAAAGAAATCGCTCTGTTTAATCTTCTCCATGTCTTTAAACGCGGGTCTAAAAGTTGGATGACCAACAGAAACTAAAAGCCTATTATTGATGGTCTCTGCAAACCAGGGTTCTGACACGTTTTCTTTGACGTTATCCGAAAGCGGGCGAAAACTGATAGAACATTTACAGAGTACACATATAACGCCAAAAAATTGACATCTTTAAAAAAAAATTAACACTACACATTAATGCACGCATAATGAAACAAGGTTTGAAAGACGGGTGAGAACTTTTTGAGACTCCCGTGGACACGTCAAGACGGTCTTGGGAGAAAACAAGCCTGCTCTGAAATATAGGAGCAGGTTGGTGTCACTGTCTCAAAATGAGCAATAATTTGGCAAAGTTACTGTAAACCCTTTATTGTGATCCTGTATA